TATATATATATATATATATATATATAATATTTGATTAGTTCTCAAACACTCGTTTTTAAAAGTCTTAAATTTACATGATTTTTTCGCACTTCAAAGAAAAAAAATAAGTTTTTATTAATCCGGACGATGCAGTGTATATTATTAAGTAATATTCTGAACGCTTTTTGTTTTCACAAAACTGTAGATTTTTTTCGTAAAAACATTTTATGCCAAAATAAGCTTAAAAAGTCCTTCACAGTTAAAATATTCCACTCAGGGTGCCAGTACTTTTTACCGTAAAGTTCATTTATACTGGAATAAAAAATCTAACATATCGTTTTTTACGCTAATCGCCGTAAAATCACCAATTGAATTTTATGGAAAAATGGATTTTACGGATGATCCACCGAAAATGCCAGTACTTTATACCGTAATTTAATCCGAAATTTTTTTACAGTGCAGCTAAGGATGAGTTAAACTTAACACGACAGGATTGAATAACTGTTATAAACACACATCAGTATTAAAAAAAAAGTAGGGTTTTTTTGTTGCTAAAACGTGTTATTTTCAAATTCAATTATTTCAGGAAATATAATATTAAATATCATTTCATATATCATTTTATACTTTATACGTATTAGGAAAAATCTATTCTACTTAAAGAGGAATATGAGAAAATCAAAACAATCAATCAAAACAGCTAATATGAGAAAATCAAAACAATAAAAATTTATCATAAAAGTGATATTTTGATTAATTGGAGTGTAACTTTAAAAAAATCCACAAGTTTGCTTTCCAGCCGGTTTCTTGTTAATTTCAAATCATCATAATAATAATTATAAAAAGTTTTTCCTTTTCTAAATTCGTTTCAATATCATGAATTTTCGATTCAATTGCAGAAAAAATCTACAAAACTATGAAGAATTCAAGATATTTGCATATATTGTTACTGAAATTTGCACTAATTTAGATTTCAATATTTTGTACCAGTTTACAGTTCTATATTCTGTATTAGGTTACATGGCTGTATTCTGTGCTTATAAATTTATGAGTAAGCTTTTCTTTTAAATTTTCTATTTTGTATTTTGTTTTAAATACTTTTTTCAAAATTGGTTCTTAGTTTAAGGATAGTTATGTTAGTGTTGCTTTTTGAGAGTTTTTCTATCTGCAATTTTTGAATAAAAATATTTGTATAGTTCTTTCGACGTTTGATTCAATACTTTCACAATAAATTTTTTATTTCCATTACAATAGTTTTCCTCCTCAAAAAAGCACAAAATTCTAAAAGTTATTAAAATTCTTTCAAAAAATATGATCGCGTATTGTAGTCAGATCATGATTTTTTTATTTTATGGAACATTAAAATTAAATAAATTTTGTTTAAAATGGGTAAACACGAAACACTATGCAAGAGTTTTTTATGATAATAAATGACTGACTTTCCGTTAGAAATAAATTCGACATTGCAAAAAAAAAATTTGCATACCAATTTATTGAAGAAAATATCAGTAGGAAGTATAAAGGGAAAGTCAGATTATTTACACAAAATAGTTGTAGCTATTAAATTCCTTAGCACGATTGGAATGTATATTTTATTGTCCGCTGCATTCTTTAAAATATGAAAAACAAATCACTCAGAAAAGAAACGAAAACTATTCAATTTTTTCGAATAAACATTCAATATTCTTTAATTGATTTCGTAGATTTAGAAGAAAAATTTAAAAAGCGTAATACTAAACCATTTAGTCAGAAATTTTATGTAGTATTGATATAATCAATCTTCGTAGACTAATTTTATATATTTTGATATGAATCTTTTAAAGCTGGAATTTTTCTTTTTAAGGAATATTACTACGTTTTGTGAAATTTAAATATTATTCGTTATAAAAAATTATGAAAGTTCACGAATTTTTAAATTTATACTTGAAAAACACCTTAAATAGATTAATATTTTGGTTAAGACACGGAAAAATAAATTGACACTTTGATTTAATTATACAAATAATTTATTCACTTGAAATTATATCAAAAATGAATTCTGAATTGTAATGTTTAATAAAAATTGTTAAATATTTTTCGATCGGGAAACAAATATTTTTAACATCTTTGGATAATTGATAAACGCGATCTCTTTGATATTGATTCAGAAATGAAATATTATTGTATTTAATATTATTATTCATAGTTGTTTTAACATCCTTTGATTTGTTTTTGAAAATTAAAAAATTAGATACATTGTGGCAAATTGAAAATCGGAACATTTTTGGGGAAGGCAGTAAGCAATTCCTTAAAACCCTAATTAGTTTCAAAATTTTAATTTATCATATTCTAAATACACTTACTTCATTACTAAGTTATGAAATCATACTTGGCAATACATTTTTCAGTCTGTTGCCTAGTAACATCTAGTCTATTGCCTAGTCACATTTTTCAGTCTATTGCCGTCTATTCACTGCA